GTGGACGCGCGCCTCCAAAGCGGGGCTGCTCGAGCTGCTGCTGCGCGAGCGCTGGGTGCGCGTGGCGGCCGAGCTGAGCGGCGAGGCGCTGAGCCTCACGGCCGAGCCCGGCGCCGAGGCGGCGGCGGCGGCGGCGCCCAACGGCGTGCCCAACGGCGGCGAGGCGGGCGGCGTGCGCCGCGTGCGCGTGCTGAAGGCGGAGGCGGGCGGGCTCGGCATCAGCATCAAGGGCGGCCGCGAGAACCGCATGCCCGTGCTCATCTCGCGCATCTTCCCGGGGCTGGCGGCGGAGCGCAGCGGCGCCCTGCGCCTCGGCGACGCCATCCTCGCCGTCAACGGCGTCGACCTGCGCGACGCCACCCACGACCAGGCCGTGCAGGCGCTCAAGCGCGCCGGGAGGGAGGTCGTGCTCGAAGGTACCGCCCCGCGCCCCCCCCCGSCTCCCGCCACCGAGGTCCCCCCGCGTCCCTGCACCTCTGCCCCGTGCCCGTTACGGGTGTCCCGGCTCCCTGCGCCCCTTCCCTGCGCTGCTCCCTGGTGTCCWGTGTCCCTGCCGGGTCCTTGTCCCAGTGTCCCCCACCAGGTCCCTGCACCCTGTCCTGATGTCCCCTGTCTCCCAGGTCCCTGTCCCCATTACCAAACCCCAGCTCCCTGCACCCCATCCTGGCTAATGGAGCCTCCCAGATCCTGCAGCACTTGCTTCATCCGGCTTCCCAGGATCCCATGTCCCCTTCCCATTGCTGGCATCCCCAGATACCCCCTGCTCCCCTCGTCCCATTACCGGCCYGCTGTCCTACTCATCCTGCTCCCAGGATCCCAGGCCCTCTCTGTGCCCCTTTCCTGTTACATCCAGGGTGTCCCAGGGCCCTGGGATCCCCTTCCYGCTCCTGGGGTCCTGCACATCCCCCATGCTGCAGCGCTGGGATCCAGCCGTGTCCTGAGCTGCAGGATCAGCCAGGATGGACAGGGCAGCGTCACGGGCGRCCGTGTGCCAGGGACAGGGATAGGGACATTGCCCGATGGGGAGCACGATCCATGACCCGTTCCCACCGTGCTGGCCCTGGCATCCTGGTACCACCCAGGGCTCCTCAGGGAAGCACTTCCATCACCAGCAGTTATCACATCCCTGCACCACGGATATTTTCAGAAGTTTTCTTTTTTTTTTTTTTTTTTTTTTTTTTTAATTGTGAATTGCGCAATTTTGTGACTAAGAGGAGCTGGCGGCTCTGCCGGGGCGGAGCGGGATGTCCCCATCCTGTGTCCCTGCTCCTGGGGCCGGGAGCTGCCCCGGCTCCGGGGTGATCCCGACCCGCATCCCGCGGTGCCCGGGGGCAGCGTCGTGCCCGGCAAGCAGCCCGGCTCCGACAGGCGCCCGGCTCCTGCCCGACCTGTTTCCCGGATGGCTTGACAAGCTCGGGCAGGAGCGGCCCGGCCCCGGGAGAGCGGGGCTGCCCGCAGTGGGGCCGGCTCTGTGGGGTGCGCAGGGGCTCTGTGCCCCACACACGGACCCTCGGGGGTGCAAATCTGGGGCTGGTGATGGGTGCAGCTCAGGAGCCCAGCTAGGGGTGCCCTGCAAGCCCRTGCATGGTGGTCGCTGCTTCTCCTCCCTCCGTGTTGGCTCTGGAGCTTTGCTGCGCTCTCCCAACGGAGCAGTCGCAGCACAGCCCAAGCTGACCTGTCCTTTCCCGGCAGGAACGTGTGGCAGGGAATGCACGGGGGCTGTAAGTTAGCGTGTCGTCCTGCTGTGGGCACAGGGCTCCGGGAGAGCGCCGTGGGGCTGAGCGCCGTGTCCCCTGTCCCGCTCGGCTGTTGGGAGCAGCCGGCTGCCGTGCTTTGCTCTCCCTCCGGAGAGCTTCCTCCTTCTGCTCCGGGGCTGCTCGCTGGAGCTCGGCGCGGTGCTGAGCGGGACACGGTGCAAAGGGGAAGGAGAGGCGACAGTGGAGCTGCGTGCGGCTCCGTGTGCCGGCRCTGGCGCGAGGATGGGGCTCGGAGCCCCCCGAGGGCTCCGCGGTGCTGGACGGAGCCGGAGCAGCCGCCTCGACGGGCGCCTTCCTGTGCGGGTGGCGAGGGAGGAGCAGCAGCGGCGCCCGCCGGGGCTTCCTCTGCGGCGGGCGCTGGGGAGGCCGCGTGGGCGGCCCGGCCCCGGTGTCGCACCGGCTCCGCGCGGAGGCACACGGGCGGCTGGAGAACGCCGGGCGCTGCCGGCCCTTGTGTGTGTGCAATGGGCAGCCGTGCAGCCGTCCGGGGCCGCGCTTTGTGTGGGACCCGCAGCTGCAAGGAGCTGCTCCTGGGGTGGCCCGTGAGCTGCTGGCTGCTCCCTGCGAGCTCCCTAAGTGTCCCCAGTGCTCCCGTGTCCTCCCTCGCTCCGTCCCCAAGCCGCCCTGGGCCGCTGACGGGTGCCCTGTCTCCCACTGTCCGTGCCAGGACCCTCACATCTGTCCGCCAGCTGTGGCGGTGCCCGCTCGCCCGGCCTGCCGCCTGCCCCGGCCGCCCCGCAGGGATTAAAGGTGCACGGAGAAGGCGGTAATCCCGGGATAAGCGTGGCGGGAGGCTAATATTACCTCCCGCGCGGCCCGCAGCAAGGGCAAGCCGCTGGTGGCCGCGCGCCTCTGGCCAGCTGCAAATCCCAGGGCGGCGCGGGGGGGCCGGCCCTGCTCCSTGCCGGGATTAACCGCCGGGATTGTGCCGGCTGCGCCGCTTCRGCTCGTCACTGCTGCTGCCCCCCGCATTGCGGGAGCCGGGCGCCCCGTTCCTGCGGACGGGCTGCGCTTTTGGATTATATGTTAGATTCCGCTGCCCTGTGCTCAAGTTTGGTTTTCCAGCTTCGCTCTCTCCCCGGGGCAGCACTGCCATGACCCTGAGGTTGGGATGCGCCCCGGAACGCGGATCCCCCCCTGCCCGCTGCTGTGCCGGGTGGCTCCGGTGGTGCAGGGACGTTTCCTCCAGCCAGCCCAGCGCGGGCCCTGAGTGCCCTCAGTGCTGCAGCAGCGGCGGGGCGGCTGGTGCCAACAATTCCCACCGCGGGAGGGATCTTCCTGGAGGAGCCTTGGCACTCATCGCTCGCGTCCCGGCGCCTCTCCGCCCGGGCTGGGCCCTCTGCTCCAAGGGGAAGAGGAGCAGATTCCTCCTTCCTTCCTCGCATTCCCACAGCGGCGCCTGGAGCCGCCACATCCTGCCRGGAAGCCCCGGTGCTCCAGCTGGAGAGAGGCGCCCGGCTCCTGGCAGCGGGGCCGGCACGCGCGCTCGGGGCTCGGAAACTTGGACAGTGCCGTCCTTCCGCRGCGGCAGGATGGGCTGGCGCCTGACCTCCCGCCCGCACCATTGTGCTGCGCCCCGCGGCCCTTCCGCCCGCCGCGGCATGGCCCTGGCCACGGATGCACCGCAGCCCGGCGGCCCGGCATGCCGGCACGGGCGGGAGGGCTCCCGGGTGCCGCAGGGCTCCGCAGCGCTGCTCTCTGCCCCGCAGTGAAGTTCATGCGCGAGGTGAGCCCCTACGTGAAGAAGCCGTCGCTGGTGTCGGACCTGCCCTGGGACGGCGCCGCGCCGCAGTCRCCGAGCCTCAGCGGCAGCGACGACTCGGGCTCCCCGCAGCACCACGGCGGCGCCAAGGACCGCAAGGTGATCCCGCTCAAGATGTGCTTCGCCGCCAGGAACCTCAGCATGCCCGACCTGGAGAACCGGTGAGGAGCCGCGCGCGGCCGGCGCCGGCACAGCCAGTTCCGGCTCCGCAGCTTTTCCCAGCGGTCGCTCCGCGTCTCGAGTTGCGGACCGCGTGCGCCGGATCCTGGCAGGCCTCCAGGGGTGATTAAATATGTAAAAGGCCTGGAAAGCAAAGGGCGCCCAAGCGAGGCGGCCTGGCCCGGCTGGCAGGGCCCGGCCCGCCCGGCTGGCCCATCGGCTCCTCCGGGCCCGGTGCCAGCRCGGGCTCCGGAGGGCAGTTGCCTCCGTCTGTGCCTGTGGCCGGGGCAGCCATGCCGGGCGCTCAGCCTGTGTTTGGGAAGTTAATCCCGTTCTGCAGTCTGCGCACCCAGCTGGAAACGYGCGGCCTCTGCAAAGGGCCGGCAGCGTCCTGCGCCGCTGCGGGCGCAGGCTGCTTTGCTGCTGCTCCCTGCCCCACACCCGGGGCACCTCGTCCCTGGGGATGGCCTGGCAGGGCTCCACGGGTCCCCGGGCGGCCGGCTGCATCGCGGCAGCGTTTCCCATGTGCCGCTCYGCGCAGGTTGATCGAGCTGCACTCCCCGGACAGCCGCAACACGCTGATCCTGCGCTGCAAGGACACGGCCACGGCGCACTCGTGGTTCGCGGCCCTGCACGCCAACATCGCGGCGCTGCTGCCGCAGGTGCTGGCCGAGCTCAACGCCATGCTGGGCGGCGGGCCGGCGGCGGGCGGCAGCCGCGAGGTGAAGCACGTCGCCTGGCTGGCCGAGCAGGTAGGTGGCCCCGCGCYGGCACCCGCGCGCCCCACGCGCCCCGTCCCAGCCCCGCCGCCGCTCTCTTGCAGGCCCGCCTGGACGGCGGGCGGCAGCAGTGGCGGCCCGTGCTCATGGCCCTGACGGAGAAGGACTTGCTGCTCTACGACTGCATGCCCTGGACCCGCGACGCCTGGGCCTCCCCCTGCCACAGCTACCCGCTCGTGGCGACCAGGTGGGCACGGGGCCGTTCCCGTGGGGAAAGGCTCTCGGGGATGCTGAGCTGATTGACCCCTTCTTGGCACCGTCGTGGAGCGGCTGCGGCYCACGCAGGTCGAGGGCTCCGCAGGTGCCAGCAGTGGTGCCAAGGCCCTGGCATGGGGTTCCTGTTCCTCATGGGCTCCGAGGCCTCCTTGGCGCAGGCGGCTTCCCTCCCCGCTGCCGCGTGGGCTGTCAGGGCAGGGACAGGGTGACCGGGATGCATTTTTCTCCCTCCTGGAGGCRCTGCGGGAAGGACGGGGGCGAAGGGCCGTGGGCACCTTGGCCCTGACGCCCCCCTGCCTCTGCCCGCAGGCTGGTGCACTCGGGCGCGGGGCGGCGCTCGCCCTCGCCGGGCTCCGAGCTCACCTTCGCCACGCGCACGGGCTCCCGCCAGGGCATCGAGATGCACGTCTTCCGCGTGGAGACGCACCGCGACCTCTCCTGCTGGACGCGGCTGCTGGTGCAGGGCTGCCACGCCGCCGCCGAGCTCGTCAAGGAGGTGTCCGTGGGTACGCCGGGCGCCGGGGCTGCTCCCGTGGCACTCGCTGCTCCCCAGGGTGGGCCTGGCGGCGGGGACAGTGCCCGAACTCCAGCGCACACACGGTTGTTCTCCATCTCCATTCTCCAGGAGCCGGCACTGTCTGAAGGGCTGCTCCCAGTGTGWCCCCAGAGCCCCCATTGCACTCCCAGAGCTTCCCAGTGTCACCTCAGAGCCTCCCATTGCAGCCCCAGAGTCCCCAACGCAGCCCCCATTGCAACTCCCAAGCCTCTCATCGCAACTCCCAAGCCTCCCATTGCAGCGCCAGAGGCCCCATTGCCGCCCACGTGCYGCCCAGAGCCCTCATTCCACCCCAGAGCCTCCCAGAGCGACCGCAGACCCCACGTTGCACCCCTGAGCGCTGCCGTGGCGCCGCCGGGGCAGGCGCTGAGGCCGTGCCCGTGCCCGCAGGCTGCACGCTCAACGGGCAGGAGGTGACGCTCTCCATCCACTACGAGGGCGGCTTCACCATCGCGCGCGAGGCGGCGGCGGGCGGCAGCGTCCTCTTCCGCTACCCCTACGAGAAGCTCAAGATGTCGGCGGACGACGGCATCAGGAACCTCTACCTGGACTTCGGCGGCCCCGAAGGGGAGCTGGTGAGTGGCGGGGGGCCGAGCCGGGGCTGCCCAGCTTGGGTCTGGGGGCTGCGGCGCCAGCGCCCTCCCGCCTCCCCTCTCGGCAGGCGCTGGACCTGCACTCCTGCCCCAAGCCCGTGGTCTTCGTCCTGCACACCTTCCTGTCAGCCAAAGTCACCCGCATGGGGCTGCTGGCGTAGGGGCGGCCCGGGGGCGCGCGGCCGCCCTGCGGCTCCCTGCGCGGTGCCTTGCTGCGCGCTGGCCCCTGCGGCTCCCGCGGCGGCTCCACGCGGCAGCTCCCGGCCCCGGCCCGCGCAAGGGCCAGGGCCCCCACACCAGCTGGGATTTCTCCGGGAAAGAAGCCATGTCCCATCTCACCGTTGTGCCTTGGAGCCCGGGGCATCCCCGCGGCGGTGCCCGCCCCCGGCCCTGCCTGCAGCCGCGGCGGCGCCGGCCGCGCACCTACGTTAGTCTCTGTTTTGCAAACTACCTATGAAGCTGCTATGCAAGCGGCGTCCCCGCGCCGGGGGGACGCGCACACTCGTGCACTTTCGCTTTTTGTACTTTACCTCTGACACTTAAGCTGGAGCGGTGGCCTTGGCCCCCTCGCCGCGCGCTGCCCGGCTCTTTTGTACTCTTTGTAAAGCGCTATTTATACCCGGCAGCGTGTCGGGGGAGCGCTGCGGCCCCTGCTCGGCAGCGCCCGGCTCGGCGGCCTCGCGCGGCGGCACTGGGGTGCGGGCCGGGCCGCCCCGGTGGTGCTGGCGGGGCCGGGTGCAGCCTGGGGGTGCAGGGACGGCCCCTGTGCCCCACGGCCGGAATAAAGGCGTTTGCTGTGAGTCCCTGGGCCTCTCTATGGGGACGGTGGCGCAGGGGGACGGGGCTGGCACTGCTGGGACGAGCTGCAGCAGCAGGGCGCCATGGGCATGTGTGTGTGTGTGTGTGTGTGCATAGGATTGTGTGTGTGCACATGGGGGTGTGTGTGCTTCGGTGTGCACGTGTGTGGGTGTGCAGGGGGCTGTGCGCATAGGTGCGCAAGGGTGCATGCAGGGCAGTGTGCAAGGGCTTGGGCACGTGGGTGTGCAGGATTGTGTGCAGGGGGCTGTGGATGCGGATGTGTGTGGAGCTGTGCACATGGGAGTGCATGCACAGGGCAGGGGGCTGTGCAGGGGGCTGTGCAGGGGGCTGTGCAGGGGGCTGTTCTCACAGGTGTGCACACGGGTGTGCAGGGGCTTGGTCTTGTGGGTGTGCAGGGGGCTGTTCTCATGGGTGTGCACGGGGTTGTGCAGGGGCTGTGCATGGGGCTGTGCAGGGGGCTGTTCTCGTGGGTGTGCAGGGGTCTGTTCTCGCGAGTGTGCACGGGGCTGTTCTCGCGGGTGTGCACGGGGCTGTTCTTGTGGATGTGCAGGGGTCTGTTATCGTGGGTGTGCACAGGACTGTGCACGGGGCTGTTCTCGTGGGTGTGCACGGGGCTGTTCTCGTGGGTGTGCACGGGGCTGTGCAGGGGTCTGTTCTCGTGGCTGTGCACGGGGCTGTTCTCGTGGCTGTGCACAGGGCTGTTCTCGCGGGTGTGCACGGGGCTGTTCTTGTGGATGTGCAGGGGTCTGTTATCGTGGGTGTGCAGGGGGCTGTGCACGGGGCTGTTCTCGCGGGTGTGCACGGGGCTGTGCACGGGGCTGTTCTCGCGGGTGTGCAGGGGGCTGTCCTCGTGGGTGTGCAGGGGTCTGTTCTCGTGGGTGTGCACGGGGCTGTGCAGGGGCTGTTCTCGCGGGTGTGCAGGGGGCTGTGCATGGGGCTGTGCAGGGGTCTGTTCTCGTGGGTGTGCACGGGTCTGTTCTCGTGGGTGTGCAGGGGTCTGTTCTCGTGGGTGTGCATGGGGCTGTGCAGGGGTCTGTTCTCGTGGGTGTGCACGGGGCTGTTCTCGTGGGTGTGCAGGGGTCTGTTCTCGCGGGTGTGCACGGGGCTGTGCACGGGGCTGTTCTCGCGGGTGTGCAGGGGGCTGTGCAGGGGGCTGTGCACGGGGCTGTTCTCGTGGCTGTGCACGGGGCTGTTCTCGTGGCTGTGCAGGGGCCTTTCCCGGGGGTGTGCACGGGGCTGTTCTCGCGGGTGTGCACAGGGCTGTTCTCGTGGGTGTGCAGGGGTCTGTTCTCG